CCGCGCCGCAGGCACTCTCGGCCCTCCGTGCCCAGCAGGCCTAGCGTTTTGTTCTCCAGGCAGTAGTCTGGGGAGTCCTCCAAGTGCACCAGCTCCCGCGTGGAGATGGAGCGAAAGGTGTCGGCGATGGCGCCGCGTCCTGCCGCGCTGTTGCCAGCACCTTGCAGCAGGTCCACCTTGAGAGCTGCGTGGTACTTCTCCTTCAGGTGCGCGCCCACCTCGCGGAACTCCGGCAGCTGCAGCCAGCAGGTCTGCGTGGTGCAGCTGCCAGACACGCCGTGGCACTTACACGTGCGTTTCATGGTGCCCTTCACCGCCTGGGGGGAGAGTGAGCGGGCCGGGGATTTAGCGCGTGGGGAGTCTCTGCCTCTTGGGGGGTGATGGCGGGGGGGACGTTGCTAGGCGTCTAGTACCTCCTACGCCTCAGTACCTCGTTTTTACAAACTTAAATGAAGTGAGGAGTTGTCCTCACTTAGGCGTGGTAATGGATGGAGCCAGCTGCCAACCCCAGGGGCTGGAAGACTCACCTTGCGGCCGGCCTCATTGTTGTGCAAATTCATGGCTGCCCGGGCATCCTGTCCGGTCTCCAGGGCATCAACGAACTGCTTGGATATTGCCTCTCCGAAGCCCACGTTGTCACTGCAGCCTCCCCACAGCCAGCCTTGACCCCCTGGAAAAGAGCAGGGGAGAGGGAAGGTCGTTGAGCAGCTGTTTCTAGTTGGGAATCTGAGATTAAGGTTGGGTGAGTGCCTTGTCTCCAGATTAGTTTCAGCCTAGACTTGTTTTTGCCACTTTTGAGCGCTCACGTGTAGCCTATCATCTGCTCAGGACTCCATGACGTAAGTAGTTGCCGAGTGGATTCTCTGCAAGGTGCCTGCGCGCCCATCTTCATACGGTTTCTGGCCTTTGGGCAGAGTGTACATGTGCCCGCCAGCGACTGACTTCCAGGAAGGACAAAATGGCTGGAAGAAAGGTGAGGAACGCGCGAGAGCACTTAGAGAGAAAGAGACAGAGAGAGACAGGGAGAGAGAGAGGAGCAACTGGAATAATATGGAACAACTAAGTTGGAAGTTGAGCCGCAGGGCAGGGAGGATTGGGACAGTGGAGGAAGAGTGGAAAGGAGACAGAGACAGACAATGTGGAAGGGTGTCCCCACTGTGTTTGAGAGAGTGACCGGTTGACTCCATGGGGAATGCTGTTCCTTTATCATTATTGTGTTAAGTTAAGGAAACTACTCCGTAGGTGAAGGAGAGCCCATGCAGCATTTAACCTGGTCTGACACATTAGGGTTTGGGCTTAAACTGGTTCACCCTGATTTTCCTCAGATTTAGAAGAATACAGTTCCTCTGCACCCCACCCAGTTACCCATCAAGCTTTTCATTCTTTAGGTGAACTCTACTGGCCTGCCCTACCCACCCCCAATGTCACTACTCACCCAGCTGCCCGTTGCGGGAGTCATCACAGCCACAGTTGTCAAAATCCCCAAGGCTGCAGTTTCGAGTCAGAGTGTACATGACGCCAGCAGAACTGATGGCATGTACGAATGCTGTCTCCCGGTTAGCTGGCAGGAACCAGAAATTGGGTGAGTCAGAGGGAGGAGTCACAACCCAAAGAAACACCAGCCATGCCACCTCCCTTTAATACAATCATTGTCCTCCGATCCCAGCTCTACCCTATTTCCCCACCTTTATAATGTTCCTTACTCTCTCCAGGGTCCACTCCAGCCCTGGTCTCAGCCCTTCCTTTCTCCCCTCCCATCTTTTCAAGTCATACCCTTTGTGATTAGGTGGCTAGATAAAGGATTTCGGTGGGAAAGAGCCTGAGGGAGAGATGAATCTGAAGGCCAGGCTATCAAGAACCCATCCCACTTCCTCCTGGAACATTGAAGTCTAAGAGGCATGCGCCACCAGTTCTGAAAGAACCTCTGACTGCCAGCTCTTATTTACTGGCATGGCCACTCTCTCTTCTCCAGGGAAATCTGGTCTCCAGGTCTGTCCCCACTTGCCTTGTACCTGGCTGCTGAGCCTGTTAAAGGAGGGGGCTGAGAGGAATGAGGGGTTATGACCCTACCTACCTCCTGATGTTATTTATATAGTGAGGAAGCCATTAGCCAATTGATGAGGTCCATTTGTTGAACAGTGAGGGTTTTGGGGAAGAAAGAGCAAAGCTCTTAGGTAGGAAAAAGGAGCTAGAGATGGAACAGAGAAGATCCCAGAGAGGGAGATCACCTGAGAGTAAAGACCAGGTGAGGAGTTAGGGTACAGAGGAGGCAGGGGCCATCCCTGGGGAGTGGGGCTCTAACCTGTGGCCAGGGGGTCCAGGGAGCTGTGGCTGAGGCTTTCCTTACCACTGCGCAGGCCACCATGGCTGGACAGCTGCAGGGCTCTCTCAGGGCAGTTCCAGCGGTCCCAGGCGAACTGGTATTTGCATTCTTCAATCCCGCTCTGGGCACCAGCTGCCACGCTGCTGGAGTAGATCAGGTAAGCCTTCGGGGACACAGGGGTCAAAATTCAGACTTACAAAAGCTGGACTTGGAGACACTTGCCCTCAAGTGGCCAAGCCCCTCTCTTCCTGCCCACTTTCCCATCCCTCCAAAATGATGACAGAGTAAGCACTTTAAATGTGTTGTCTCATTTAACATCACAAATAACCTTGTCAAATAGGAACCATTTTATAGATTAGGAATCTGAGGCTCAGAGAGGTGAAGTAAAGCAATTTGCCCAAGATCCCACAGCTAGCCAATTATACAAGTAGGAATAAAATTCAGTTTATCGGTCGCTAGACCTGACTTTACTCACTACACTATTCTGCCTCTCCAAAGTGATCCCAAATTACATAATTCATGAATTTTCGCTGTTCTCATCCCATTACCATCTTAGAAAATAATATTTTGGAACTGGAAATGTCCTTAGAGATAATGCAGTACAATAGCAGCATTGTAAAGACTGCATCCCTCCCCTGCCTGAGAAGGTTGTGTGACTGCAGCCTGATGCTGTGAAAGGCTGTTGACTTGTCTGGCTTTAGAAATTCTGCTGTAAATTTAGAATCAATACTCGTGAGTTCTTGCCTTGGCTCTGACACTAGTCTGCTGTGTGGTTTGGGTTGTGTCACTAATCCCGTCTGTGGCACAGTTGTTGTCTGTAATAGGTACAGCACAATAAAAAGTGTGGATATAATGAAAAGAAATTAGCATGTATAGCGTTCAGTTAAGAAGCTAAGATTAGTGAAATCTAAACAAACCAAAGGAATATTTTTCTTACCTTTGGACCAGTCATCAGAAAATTGTTCACTGACCTAGAAGAGAACAAAATCACAGAGCGTAATGGAGATGCACCAACTCATTTCTGCTGCCAAGAGTTGTAAGGATTACTTTAGAAAATATAATTGATGGGAAGAAAGGGAAAATGGTTTGCCAAGGAAAAATTATGCATAAGGAGCCTACTAAAGACCACAAATTTAATAAAAAAGAATATGTATTATGCTCCTTTTCAAATACCAAAAGTGTTGGGAGTAATGTTTGGTCATTATTTTGCCATGGGTGGGAATAGAGCTAGCATTAACTCATTACTGTGTAATAGATGCTCTACTCTCAGTATTTTACATGTTGATTTTGTTAAATCCTTACTATTGCAGGCATTATTATCCCTATTTTACAAATAGGGAATCTGGGACTCAAAAAAGTATTTAAGGTCACCCAGCTAATAAATTATTGAATCAGGATTTGAATCCAGGACTACCTGGATTCTGAGGAGGGTAGTTCAGTTCTCTAATCAGAAAGATGTAAATAGTAGAATATCTTTCTAGGGATTGAATTATAATTAAAGTCCAAAAATAAATAATCTGACTCTAGAAAATAGCTAGGCTGTTCCTTTCAAAACTAAAAATAGATTTGTCATACAACTTAGCAGTTCCACTCTTGGGCATTTATCCTTGAGAAATGAGGACTTATTTTTATCCAGGATCTTATACTTGGATGCTCATAGCACTTTATTCATAATAACCCAAAATTTGAAAGTGTTTAAATGTTTTTCAAAGAGTGAGTGGTTATAATAACTGTGGTACAAGGCCTGGCTGGTGTGGCTCAGTTGGTTGAGCATCGTCCCATGCACCAAAAGGTTGCTGGTTCGATTCCCCAGTCAGGGCACATGCCCAGGTTGTGGGCTCCATCCATAGCAGGGGACATGCAGGAGGCAGCTGATCGATATTTTGCTTATCACGTTAATGTTTTCCCTCTTTCTCTCTCCCTTCCTCTCTCTAAAAGAAAATCAATGAAAATATTAAAATCATGGTGGTACATCCATACAATGGAATACTACTCAGGAATGAAAAGGAATAAACATCTGATACATGCAACAACTTGAATGAATCTCAAGGCAATTATACTGAGTGATCAAAGCCAATCTCAACAGGACACATACTGCATGATTTCACTTATGTAATAATTGTGAAATACATAATTATAGAGCTGGAGAATAGATTAGTGGTTCCCAGGGGTTAAAGAGGAGGGATGCATGTGGCTACAATAACACCAGAGAGTTTTGTGATGGTAGAATTAAGTGTCTTGATTGCGATGTGATTATGCAAAGCTATACATGTGGCAACATTGCATTGAGCTATACATACACACTGGGTGTATGTAAAATTGGTGGTCTGAATAAACTTTATAAATATTGTACTATAGAACTTCATAAATATTATAGGATACTTGTAAGATGTTACCATTGGCAGAGGCTTGTGTAGGACTTCCCTGCACATTTCTTTGCAATCTTCTGCCAGTCTATAACTATATAAAAATTAAAAATTCAATGCATACATACTAGTATATAACCTGGCAAATGGACTTTGGGATAGGCATTTGAAAATTAACCCAAATATATTACCTATTATTGCTCTTTTCCCATTATAATGGAAGAAAGTAACATGGGAATCATTATGTATTGTTCCATGAAAGTTGGTGTACCCTGCAATGGTAAAGGCCAATAAGATGCTGGCCATCATCAGAAGTGAAAAGAGCTTAGCCGACTCTCTTCATATCAAACACAAATAACACCTAAAATGTGGGTGGTTTTTGAAAAACAGTGTTATAAACTGGGAGGCTGCCATGTGAGAGAAGATGAAAAAGATTTGGAAAGAAATGTAACAGGTTTTTAGAAAATCATAAAAAACTACATAGTCAACAAAACTTTAAAGCTTGGTAAGGGGAAAAGGGTATGTGAAAAATACAGGAGTAAAGGTGTTTAAACATGAAGATGAAAGATCCTGATTTGATGGAGAGCTCCTATGACTGCTGTTCTCCCTGTGTTAAGTTAGGTCATTCTCTCTCTCTTACCTCTGCACTTATTTTTATTAACAAGTTAATGTCTCTCACTGCTCTTATGTTCACATTGCAACTCCATGTTTTGTCAGTCATTTTCAATTCTCACTTTTGTTAAATTAAAGAGAGATAAATGAGCAAACAAACAAAAAAAACCCCTAAAACTTCAAAGCTTGGCAGGCAAAATTAAGTTGACTAAAAAGTACCGCTATCTTGGGGGTGGTAGTACCAGCAAAGAACAAAAATAAATTCAAAACAATTTAAATGAATTCATAACTGCTAAAGCCATTATGGGTTTGCAGATAAATTTCTGATCCTGAAAGAGCGGTGTCAGAGGAGTCAGCCAGGCCCTCTGCTTGCTCTTGCTCAGGAAGGTGTTTTTTCTGTTAGAGAACTACCAAAGACACTTGGACATTACCAGGCAAGACAGAGGCTAGTTCCCATCCCCCAGGACAGACAGCGTCAGGAAAGAAAGCAAAGCAACAAAACAAATATCAAGTGGCAGACAGAGGAGAAAGCTTTGCCATGAGGGTGGGTGAAGAGACTCCCTGTGAGAGGACGCGAGGTTGGAATCGCAGGGAGTGTTGCGCAGAATACTGGAGGATTCTTCCTTCCTCAAGGGCCCCGCAATATGTAAAGTTTTGTATGACATGCTGGTCTAGTTCAATTGATTAATCAGATTTAATTGAGCAACTGCCATGAGACACAACTGCCAGCCTTAGTTGGACAGCATTCCCATAAACTGACTTGTGTTGGAAACCCTGAGTTATTGGCAGACCTATTTGAACCATTGTGGCTGACTTGCTCATAACCAAAATAGCCAGTATTAAGAAATGACTCGTCGTGATAGATGTTAACTAGACGCATTGTAATGATCATTTCACAATATACACACACATCAAATCATTATGTTGTCCACCTGAAACACAGAAGGGCAACTATCTACAGAGATAGGGGAATAGGAGAAAAACCCTTATTCATGCCCATGGTCTTAACTACCGTGATTATACAATGTCTCCCAAATCTTTACCTCCAGCCCTTTCATCTTGAGATCCAGAGTTGCATTACCAAATGAATGCTAGACTTCTCCACTGGGAATGTTTCAAATTATGAAGACAGTATGTCCAAATGCCAACTTATGCCCAGCCGGTGTGGCTCAGTGGTTGAGCATCGATTTATGAACCAGGAGGGCACGGTTCGATTCCCGGTCAGGGCATATGACCAGATTGTGGGCTTGGTCCCCAGTGTCTGGTGTGCAGGAAGCAGCCGATCAATGATTCTCTCTCATCATTGATGTTTCTATCTCTCTCTTCCTCTCCCTTCTTCTCTGAAATCAATTAAAAAATATATTTTAAAAAATATAAATAAATAAAAGCCAACTAATATTCCCTGTTGAACTTGACACTTCTCCTGACTTGACTATGTTTTGTTAATAGAGCCACTATTTCCCCACATCTCTCTCAATCCATTTTCACTATCTAATCAGTAAGACTTGCATGTTTTACCTCCATTATACTTTTCACTTACCAGCTTCCTTTTTTTCTCTCTCACTTTCTCAGGAATTCTCACTGTCATATCTTATTTGTGGCCTCCAACTTAGACCATTGTAGAAGCCCTACTGATCGACCTCTCTAGTTATAATTTTTACCCCATTCCAATCCAGTGTATAGTCAGTCAGTCTGCAGCTAGATCAGCAGTGGGCAAACTACGGCCCGCGGGCCGGATCCGGCCCGTTTGAAATGAATAAAACTAAAAAAAAAAAAAAGACCGTACCCTTTTATGTAATGATGTTTACTTTGAATTTATATTAGTTCACACAAACACTCCATCCATGCTTTTGTTCCGGCCCTCCGGTCCAGTTTAAGAACCCATTGTGGCCCTCGAGTCAAAAAGTTTGCCCACCCATGAGCTAGATCAATCTTCTGAAAGCCTGATTCTGATATCCTGCTCAAGTATCTTCCTTAGTTTTTCAGCTCTTGCACTCAAGGCTCTCCATAATCTGACCATACATGTGTTTTCAGCTTAATTTCCCATGAAATATCCCTACTTGTCCAATTGTATAGTCCAGTGGTCAGCAAACCGCGGCTCACGAGCCACATGCGGCTCTTTGGCCCCTTGAGTGTGACTCTTCCACAAAATACCACGTGCGGGTGCGCACGTACAGTGCGAAGTTGACTTAAAACTTTAAAGTTTATTAAGTTAATTTTAGGGAACATTGTGGAGTGAAAGAAGATGCAGTGTCGAGGATTGAGAATGGTAGGTTTAGATGGTTTAGACATATAGAGAGAATGAACGAAAGGAGGTAGACGAAACAAGTATACAAGACGAGTGTGGATGAGAGAGTTGGAAGGGGTCGACCTCAGCGAACGTACCTCAATCAGATTGAGGACGTTTTTAGCAAAGGCCAACTTAGGAGTACCCTAATTAAGTTAATAACAATGTACCTACCTATATAGTTTAATTTTAAAAATTTGGCTCTCAAAAGAAATTTCAATCATTGTACTGTTGATATTTGGCTCTGTTGACTAATGAGTTTGCCAACCACTGGTCTAGTCAAACTGAACCAGTTGCTATTCCCAACACCATGCATTCATGCCTCTAAACCTTTGCTCACACTGTTCTCTTAAATCTTGCCTAGTCTTAGTATTTTCAACCAATGGTGCTGGAACAACCAACTGGATATCCACATGCAAAAGAATGAAGTCGGTCCCATATCTCACACCATATACAAGAATTAACTCAAAATAGATCATAGACCTAAATGTAGGCACCAAAACTATAAAACTCTTAGAAGAAAATATAGATATTAAGTTTTCGTGATCTGAGGTCAAGCAATGTTTTGTTTGTTTGTTTGTGAATCTGATACTAAAAACACAAGTGACCAAAGAAAACATTGATAAACTGGATTTCATCAAAATTTAAAAGTTTTGTGCTTCCAAAGTCACCAAAAAGGGAAGTAAAAAGACAGCCCACTGAATGG